TGCCTTGCGCGGAAATCCACCGGGATGTCCCAATTAGCCTCTGTTTTACAATTATTCTTGAAAAGCGTGCCAAGTCCCGGAAAGTTGCTGATTCCTGGTTTTGCTGCAACAGAGAGCAGGAAAGGGGCATAGCAGTGTATTTGCACAGATATATGCATACCTCGATCCTCGTGCTGCCAATCACGCATACCGAGGCATGATGGCCGAGGAGTCGAAATGCACAACTCAATATAGAATAAATGCACATAAAAACACAACTAAAACCTAACTCCATCATGGATAATCCGGAGTGTCGGTGACCGGGGAATTGAGGTACATTCCATCACTCGGAGTACGAAACGCACCTCGTTTCCCGTGCCCGGGCTAACTCCTATCCCGAACACGATGCAATATGCATGATATGCATGAAATGCAACTAAGATACAATCCTAACATACACGATGTGATGAAAAAGAGATGCCTCGAAATACGTGCACACGGGCACGCAAACCGAGAAAATGCATGAATGCGATCTAAGATACAACCTAGCATGCACAATGCTATGAAAATGAGATGTCTCGAAATACGTGCACACGGGCACGCAAATCGAGAAAATGCATGAATGCGATCTAAGATATAACCTAGCATGCACAATGCTATGAAAATGAGATGCCTCGAAATACGTGCACACGGGCACGCAAACCGAGAAAATGCATGAACGCGATCTAAGATACAACCTAGCATGCACAATGCTATGAAAATGAGATGCCTCGAAATGCGTGCACACAGGCACGCAAACCGAGAAAATCCAAAAATGACATGAAAAATGAAACATGGACTTATACTAACATGAGAGAGCCTCAGCCACACTCACATAAGATGCCGATGGCAGAAAATGAGGTGCCTCGAAATGCGTGCACACGGGCACACAAACCGAGGCGATGCACAAGCAATGCAAATGACATGAAAAATGAAACATGGACTTATACTAACATGAGAGAGCCTCAGCCACACTCACATAAGATGCCGATGGCAGAAAATGAGGTGCCTCGAAATGCGTGCACACGGGCACGCAAACCGAGGCGATGCACAAGCAATGCAAATGACATAAAAAATGAAACATGGAGTTATACTAACATGAGAGAGCCTCAGCTACACTCACATAAGATGCCGATGGCAGAAAATGAGGTGCCTCGAAATGCGTGCACACGGGCACGCAAACCGAGGCGATGCATACGCAATGCAAATGGCATGGAAATGGCAATATGGACTTATACTAACATGAGAGAGCCTCAGCCACACTCACATAAGATGCCGATGGCAGAAAAATGAAGTGCCTCGAAATGCGTGACACGGGCACGCAAACCGAGGCAATGCTAAAATATGATGAAATGACATGGAAATGATAAGTGGGCTTATACCAACATGAGTGAGCCTCAGCCACACTCACATAGGATGCCGGCGGATAAAAATGAA